TAAGACGTTCTCATAATACTGACTTCATTCTCATAATACTATGATTTTATTCTCCTAATACTGACTTTATTCTCATAATACTGTGACTTTATTTTCATACTGACTATTCTCATGATTCAATTCTCATATTTTGACTTTATTCCCATAATACTGATGTTATTCTCATAAGACGTTCTCATAATACTGACTTCATTCTCATAATACTATGATTTTATTGTCCTAATACTGACTTCATTCTCATAATATTGTCTTTATTTTCCTTGTACTGTGACTTTATTCTCATTCTTACTTTATTCTCATAATACTATGATTTTATTCCCCTAAAACTGACTTTATTCTCAATATCGTCTTTATTCTCCTTCTACTGTGACTTTATTCTCATAATACTGACTTTATTCTCATAATACTGGACTTTTTTCTCATTATACTATGATTTTATTCTCCTAATACTGACTTTATTCTCATAATACTGTGACTTTATTTTCATGCTGACTATTCTCATAAAATTTTGACTTTATTCCCATATGACATTATTTTCATGTTATGTCTTTATTCTTGTAATATTATGACTCTGAAGGAAATTTTGTGGCTGATTAACTGAATGTTAGATCCAGGCTTGTATTTTACTCTCTGATCATTGCAACCATACGGTTTAAACACAGAATGAGAGTTGGTGTGTGTTATCAATGAGGCCTTTCTGTTTGCATAAACAAAGTTTGTTATGTTCTATCGTAGGGGTGGGCTATCCTGGTCCTCGAGGACCGCATCCCTGCATGTTTTACCTTTTCCCTGCTCCAACATACCTGATTCAGTCATTGCATCACCTCTTCCATGTTCAGCCTGATCATCACCCATTCAATCAAAGCTAAAATAAAAATAATATTCTGACTTTGTGTAATATTTTGACTTAATTCTTGAAATATTGTGACTTTAATGCATAAAAAGCATAAAATAAAACAAGTTAATGCAAATGAAACATTGAGTAATGTATTTAGTGAAAAGCTTAATGGAACAGAGGCTGTGTTAACACTGAGTTACACACCTGTGAGTATGGCATGTTGGAGGTGACGGTGTTGAACTTGCTGCTGGTGTAGCTGGAGAAGCTGATGGCGTCCAGGTTGTCGAAAGCCGCCGACTCCTTCACGAACTTCCTCTCCATTCGCTCGTGGTGCCGCCTCTGCAGCTTCTCGCAGTCCTTGATCCGACGCTCGGCGGCGTGAAACGCCCGCTCTTTGAGCTTGCCGACCAGCTTGGCGTTGAGCGTGATCTGCTTGGCGGCGATGGAGTCCAGGTAGCGGACGCAGTCCATGTGGCCCTTGGCGGCGGCCATGTCCAGCGGCGTGTGGTAGTCGTTGTCCAGACACCACACGTTGGCACCGAAGGACACCAGGAAGGACAGACAGTTGAGGTGACCGTTGGCTGCTGCCAGGTGAAGCGGCGTGTTCCCCCAGATGTCACATCGGTCCGGATCCCCCCTGAGACACGACACACCAGAACACTTACTGGACATGCAGTTTAAAGACAATCAGACCTTATAAACAATTTGTAATAAATTATGACTATACGTGTTGAAACTCCCTCCTCTTCCTCGTACACGACCGGGTCATGATCGGTAACTGAAACCACGCAGGTTAAACATGACTCTGCATTATTTATCCGCACACCGATCCACTTTATTTCACCGACACCCAGCAGGACCGTTACATCACACTGGGTCACCACCTTCATCCTCCTCCTCTTCATCATTAAACCCTGATTTCACTTCCTGTCTGAGTAACATTAAACCAGCTGATGTGGTTTATTTCAGAGGATGGGTTCTGTTTGTTCTGTTGCTGGTCTGTCGAAGCAGATCCAGTTCCTGGACTCGGTCAGAGATGATTCACCGCAGGAACCCGGAGGAGGAGACACACCTGAGATCGTAACACGACTACCTGCCACTGCAGCTCACAGGTGATAAATCAGAAATGATAAATCAGAAACTCAACAGATCTGGTTAACATGAACCTGAACTTAACCAGGTCAGATCTGATCCTCGGATCAGACTCAGAGAAAGATCAACGTTTTTTCAATTATTTCAGCCAGAAATGTGCTTTTTTTTTGTACAAAATAAACTTAGACTTTTGCCAAGACTTTTATCAAACTTTAAGCAATTTAAAGTTTTAACATGTGAACTCACAGAATAAGTGGATGAAACAGTTATTTAAATATTAAATTTTAACTGAAGCATTTTCCCAGAGACGCTCTATAATTGTGTCTGCCCCGGGGTCTCCTCCCAGTGGCCTGGAAAATCCTGAAGGGAGGCGTCCAGATCAGACGGACCACCTCAACCGACTCGTTTAGACCCAGAAGAGGAGAATTCTCTGTGAGGCTGAGCTCGTTTAAATCAGTTCAAATCTGTTCACATCTGTTTAAATCAGTTCAAATCAGTTTTATTGTCCTTTTTTTGTTTTAATAATCGGTGAGTGCAGCTTTTATCTTTCAACTCATCAGGTCATCATCCATCATTCTGATCTTTGCAGCTTCTCTTAACGCCTGATAAACATCTGGATAAACCTGTAAACATCTGGACGATAAACAGTAAACATATGGACAAACATTAACATCTAGACAATAAACCTGCAAACATCTGGATGACAAACCTGTAAATATATATTGATAAACAGTAAACATCTGGATGATAAACCTGCAAACATCTGGATGATAAACCTGCAAACATCTGGATGATAAACCTGATTAACACCTGGATTTTAAACGGATGTTTAACCTGTAAACATCTGGATAATAAACCAGTGAACATCTGGATGATAAACAAACATATGTAAGATAAACCTGTAAACATCTGGATAATAAACCTGCAAACATCTGGATGATAAACCTGCAAACATCTGGATGATAAACCTGATTAACACCTGGATTTTAAACGGATGTTTAACCTGTAAACATCTGGATAATAAACCAGTGAACATCTGGATGATAAACAAACATATGTAAGATAAACCTGTAAACATCTGGATGATAAACCTGCAAACATCTGGATGATAAACCTGCAAACATCTGGATGATAAACCTGCAAACATCTGGATGATAAACCTGATTAACACCTGGATTTTAAACGGATGTTTAACCTGTAAACATCTGGATAATAAACAGTAAACATCTGGATGATAAATAGTAAACATCTGGATGATAAACCAGTAAACATCTGGATGATAAAC